AAAAAAAAAAAAAAAAAAAAAAAAAAAAGTGGAATATATCCATGAATTCTGATTTCAAAGAAGCAGTTATCTTTTTCTATTCCTTAAGACTATAAAAATAATCCAAAAAACTATGTAGTCTTTCAACCAGATCTGGGTTCTAAATTGACTCCATTGAATATCAAAGATACATGCATACATTGTAGGCTTCAAAAACAGAAAGATGTATAGTCAGAGTGTTGACTCTTATTGGACATTTTAAACTGTTAATTCTAGGCTATGGATACTAATCTATTTTCCTTATGTTTGAGATTTTTCATAATAAAAATTATTTATTTATTTTTTTTAAGACGGAGTCTTACTCTGTTGCCCAGGCTAGAGTGCAATGGCACGATCCTGGCCTCATTTTTCTTTTTTTCTCTTTTTTTTTTTTTGAGATGGAGTCTTGCTCTGTTGCCCAGGTTGGCGTGCAATGACACAACCTTGGCTCACTGCAACCTCCCTAGTTCAAGTGATTCTCCTGCCTCAGCTTCCCAAGTAGCTGGGATTACAGTCGCTCAGCTAATTTTTACATTTTTAGTAGAGACAGGGTTTCACCATGTTAGCCAGGCTGGTCTCAAACTCCTGACCTCAGGTGATCTGCCTGCCTTGGCCTCCCAACGCGATGGAATTACAGGCGTGAACCACCACACCCAGCCAAAAACAAGAAAAAAAAAAAACTTAATAAAGTCGAAGAATAACATATTCATGGATGACAACTAAAGAAATGCAGTTGAAATTCTAGAATTCTAGAGACATTGTGTCAAGGTGGTAATGACGACAATATGAAGAAGGGACACTTTAACAGAAGGTGACAGAATAGTGCCATATTCTCCTTGTCTACTTTCATTTATCTATCTCCTTTCTTCTTATAGCATACCATATACATATAGGGCTAATGTCCTGTAAGAGATCCCTCAACTCCTAACACAAACCCTGCTATGACACAATACTACCATCACCACCTGCAAACTCTCACCTTTAGGATCTATTCTGCCCAGACACAATCCTGGACGAAGATTACGATTGATTATTTGAATTAAATCTTCACGCCTTGTGCTTTGAGGGCACCATATTTCCGTAAACCGGTTTCTTAAGGCAGGAGACAGCTATAAGAAACACAAACTCCAATGTGAATTTTTAAAACTATAAGGAAAGCTGGAAAACAAGTCTTGAAAGAATGTTGTTAGCTGTTAAGTCCAGCAAATACTACACACTTCTTTTATTATTTCTACTACCAGATATAATTAGTTGAAGATGTACTTTGTCTTGGCTCCTTACATTCCATGACACCTCCCAGCATCATCATCACTTTCTTAATAGACATGGTCAGAGGCTTGACAGACTAAGTGATGGAAGCCAGCCAGTGACAGTCAAACCTGAACTCTTCTCTTTAAGCAGAGATTCTTCCTCTTTCTTTACCTTTACTTTGCATCAGGTACCTAAATAATACTTCAGAGAAAATAAACACCCACAGAGGGCAGTCTGATGTAGGAGGAGGAAACTTTTTTTATGTGGCTCAAAGGGAGTGCAATTTAAAAAATAAGTATTTTCTAGCTTTTGAATAACATGAAATTGTTTAGCTGCTCCAGTCTTAGGGCCTTTGCCCCTGTAGGTTCCCTTTCCCTCCAAAAGATCAGTTAACACTATTCACAAATGTTTGCCAACGCTTCATAAGCATCATTATTGGTTTGTCTGATTACTTTGTCATTATTTTCCTTCTACTTGATGATCATCTATCTGGTCTACCACAGAGAGACCCAGGAGTAATGCCTGGTGAATTCACGTGTGGACCTTATCAGTATCTTAGACAACCAGTACCTCTGGTGTCCCGCATTCTGCCTTGCTCTGCTTGTTAAGCACACAAAACTAAAAGTCGGCAAGCTTTGACTTAAAGAAAACAAGATAATTTGACAGGCAAGTTAATATACACAACCTTTAAATCACACCCCTCTGTGGCATTTCTACTTGCTCGGGAGCCAGTTTTTATATTTTGAATGTGATGTATTTTATTCTCTCTCTTCAGAGAATATCTTGAAGCACAGAGATCATCTTTCTTCTTACGATACTGAGGAAACCTAGGCCCAAAGTATCATTTCAGCTACCCACCAAATTACCAAGACTGTTAATGGCCTCATTTAAGATCAGCCCCTCTGTTTCTTCTCATCATCCCTGTCCTGTTACACGACTTTCTTCTTAACTTTAAACAGACTGGGATCCAGCACACAGTGCTGACTTCTTCACTGAAAGGTTTCCGGAGCCAGAAACCAACAAAGTTGTTAGTTCCTATATATACCTGAACACAACCCTCTGAACACAGGAACTGCCCTCTACTCTTTACCAGCAGTCAGAAAGTGACCCACATAACCCTTATGAGAACTAATCAACTCCATCTATAAACCAGAAGAGCTTCTTGGCTATGACTTTTTTGTCACTTTAAAACCATTCATGAAAGTAAAGGTGTGTTTAAGAAGGTGGACTGTTAAAAACAGAGGTTTAATTTAAATTTCAGATACAACTCTTCTCATCCATAAAACTACAATAAAAATCTTCTTGCAGAGCTCGTGAGAGCTTTTTCAGGGTAACATACATAAGTAAAGGGCTAGGCAAGGTGACGGTAATAACGACATTTCGAGCACATACACAAAGTGAGATATCAAATAAGGGGATATTTGTGTCAGAATTTTCTAACCCAAATTATTTTAAAATATTTTTGGGTTTTTACACTTTTACCTAGTTTTTACCCAACATAAAATTCCAAATCCATTATGGCATACAATATTTATGAGTACCAGTAAGCTGAGGTCAAAAACCAGAAAGAAATTGTGTACCAGAAAAGTTTTACCTCCTTTTTTCCGAAGTCACCCCCTGGGTTCATGGTTGCTAGGATACGAAATTTTTTCCCGGCAGTCAACAGCTCTACTCCATTATTCCTGTCCTCTGGACTGCCTTTTTCAGCTAATACCAGAGACTTTTCTACTTCAAGGACACTAAAAGAAAAATTGAAGAACACTGAAAAGGGATTATATAATCTTTCGATTTTATGGTCTTTGACATTCTTTAAAAAAAAAAGTCATCTCCTCTCTATTAAATTTTTACTTTAGTTAATGGTTTCCTATCACAAATGTTAAAATGACTCACTATCGCAATTCCTGTGTAATAATGGCTATTTCTGATGAAGAAAGAAACTTTTCCACTTATAACCTATTAAGGCATTGGTCTTAAAAATGAGTAACTTGTAAGCAAATAAAAACACATTGCATGCATTATTCATAATAGTTAACTAGAAAGAACTAAAATACCATTGACTGGTGAAAAGTTAATCAAAATGTGGTATAGCCAATACTATTTGGGATAAAAAGGAACAAACTAATATGTGCTGAAATAGGAATGAATCTCAAAACATTAACACAAAGTAACAGAAGAGGCCTTTTACCTGAAATACCCAAAAGACAAATCTCCAGAGACAAAAAAATAGATTAATCAGAAATTTAGTGTAATGGGCATAAGGGATTCTACTGAATGATGGAAATGTTGTAAAACTGGATTGTAGGCTGGGCACAGTGGCTCATGCCTGTAATCCCAGCACTTTGGGAGGCCAAGGTGGGCAGATCACTTGAGGCCAGGAGTTGGAGACCAACCTGGCCAAGACGGTGAAACCCCATCTCTACTGAAAATACAAAAATGAGCAGGGTGCAGTGGCTCATGCCTATAGTCCCAGCTACTCAAGATGCTGAGGCATAAGAATCAAACCCGGGAGGTAGAGGTTGCAGTGAGCTGAGATTACAGCACTGCACTCCACCCGGGGCACCAGAGCAAGACTCTATATAAAAAAACAAACAAACCTCTATCTTCCAAATTTTCAGGAAAGCTGATATGAGTAATAAACTCCTGTCCTCCTACTTGGCTAGCTCTGCAATTACTAAATTCTTTCTCTACTGCAATACCACTAACTCAATGACTTGGTTCTACGCATACAGCTTGTAAGAAGAACATATCATGGGATTGTAAACTTACTGAATTATACATTTTATGATATGTAAACTATACTTCAGAAAAAGAAAAAATGGGTGTTACTACATCAAGATCCATATTGGTCTGAGGTCTGATGATGGCTTATAGCAACACGTCTAGGAATCTGACTACAGTTCCTTCAAAATATTAAGAGAGTAAGCATATAATTCACCTTAAAAAATAGTTTTGACTTCAGCTCATGTTTTAGCCCGGCCACCCCATGATCCCATCTGATTACTGATAGCCAAAAAAACCTAAAAATTTAAAAGACATTGAATGCTAAAGCCAAAAGACATGGTAACATGGTGCATTTATTAAGGTGCACCTATGAGGAGCATTACTGTGCACAAGATTTAATACCTATAAAAATCACATCAATAACCTGATCCCAGAAGTTCGAGGCTACAAGGAACTATGATCATGACATAGGCGGGATATCACACCAACAAAAAAATGTCAAACACAAGGCAAACCTCTCAGGCACGTACCTGTTGAGTCTTTCCAAGACAGAGTCATCAGCCAGTGAGATCTCATCCAAGAGGAAAAAGCCATCCTCCTTCATGGCCTGAACCAGAGGCCCATCGTGCCACTCAAAGAGTCTTGATGTGTCAATTTCTTCCTATAATTTGAAAAAGTGGGGAAAATTAAAGGGCAGATGGCTCCACAAGACAATATACATGCAGCTGGCTGGTGTCTCCAGGAATGAAATAGGCATTCTGAGGAAGGTAAGAATCTGAGAACAGGAGATAGAACTTGCACACAAGAATGCATGCCATGGCCGTTGTAGACCAGTTAAAATCTGCAGATATGCATATTTAACCAAACCAGAACCCAGCTCCAGAAACCGCACCATGAATATCACCCCACCACTGACTCATGAACAGCCAACTGCAGTTTTTTAAATGAATAGGAACACTCGCTGCTGGACAAACCTTGTCATCTGGCTTCTGTCTCACTGGCCGCAGGCCACCGAGGAAGTCTGATGTCTCCATGTGTAAGTGGCAGCTGACAGAGTATAATTTCTGATTTGTCAAGGCTGCAAACACCTCACAGATAGTAGTTTTCCCACACCTGTTAGAGATATGCAACTGATTAACAAGGCATGTCTTTCAAATATACATCCATAAACACCCTCCTCAGCAAAAGAGAAGAACCACTTGTGAGAGTCTCACTGCAGCAGCAGAGAGTCCTGGCCAATGTGGAATCTCAAACCCAGGCTCAGGCACCCCTCTGCATGACTGCACTCTCCTATATTCCTTATCCAGAAGGCAGGTACTGCACAAATTCCATCCTAGTTCTATCAACAGCCACTGGCTGGGCATGGTGGCTCATTCCTGTAATCCCAGCACTTTGGGAGGCTGAGGCAGGTGGATCACCTGAGGTCAGGAGTTCAAGACCAGACTGGCCAACATGACAAAGCCCCATCTCTACTAAAAATACAAAAATCAGCCGGGCGCAGTGGCTCACGCATGTAATCGCAATACTTTGGGAGGCTGAGGCAGGCAGATCACGAGGTCAGGGGTTCGAGACCAGCCTGACCAACATGGTGAAACCTAGTCTCTACTTGAAAATACAAAAATTAGCCAGATGTGGTGGTGCACACCTGTAATCCCAGCTACTTGGGATTACAAGAGGCTGAGGCAGGAGAATTGCTTGAACCAGGGAGGCAGAGGTTGCAGTGAGCCAAGAGCACACCATTGCACTCCAGCTTGGGCAACAGAGAGAGATTCCGTCTCAAAAAGAAAAAAAAAAAATTAGCCAGCGTGGTGGCACGCATCTGCAGTCCCAGCTACTTCAGAGGCTGACGCAGGAAGATCATTTGAAACCAGGTGGCAGGGGTTGCAGTGAGCTGAGATTACACCATTGCACTCCAGCCTGGGCAACAAAGTGAGACTCCATGTCAAAAAAAAAAAAAAAAAGCCATCAAGGGATGGGAAAGAAATCTAATCCTTACAGGCTTTATAGACTTTCAAGAGACACTAGTTTATCTGCTCTTCTCTGCACACTGTTTAAAAGAACTAAATAGACAAAAACTGCCCTCAATGCAATGAAGCAAAAAATCATTCTTGCCGGGTACAATGGCTCAGGCCTGTAATCCCAACACTTTGGGAGGCCAAGGCAGGAGGATCACTTGGGTCCAGGAGTTTGAGACCAGTCTGGACAAAAAAGTGAGACTCCCGTCCTTTTTTTTTTTTTTTTTTTTTTTTTAAAAAAAAGGCAGGGCTTCACTCCTGCTGCCCAGGCTGGAGTGCAATGGCACGATCTCAGCTCAGTGCAACCTCTGCCTCCGAAGCTGAAGTTGCGATTCTTCTGCCTCAGCCTCCCAAATAGCTGAACTACAGGCAGACACCAAGACAGCCAGCTAATTTTTGTATTTTAGTAGAGATGGCGTTTTGCCATGTTGCCCAGGCTGGTCTCTAACTCCTGAGCTTAAGTGATCCACCTGCCTCAGCCTCCCAAAATTTTGGGATTACAGGCATGAACCACTACACCTGGCTGAAACTCTGACATCACAAAAAAATTTAAAAATTAGCCAAGTGTGGTGGTGTGTGCCTGTAGTCCCAGCAACTTGGGAGGCTGAGCCAGGAAGGTCACTTGAGTCCAGGAAGTTAAGGCTGCAGTGAGCCATGACTATACCACTGCACTCCAGCCTGGACAACAGTGAGACCCCATCTCCAAAAATAATAATAATAATGTCCTTCTTTTCCATAAAAAAAGATCTAGTCTGAAGGTAGAGGAAAGTAAACAGTAACAGATCTTAGGTTCTTCTTTAAAAAAAAAAAAAGAAAAAGAAAAAAAAGAGGAAGTAGGAAAAAAGGAGAGATTAATACTTTCATGAGTTCTTCAGCGATAACTGAAGTAGTCCTGTGGAACTGAAATGAACCCTCACAAGTCACTGTCATAGATCCTTACCCAGTGTCTCCAACCAGCAGCACCGGCTCACCAAATTCCAATGCCCTTCCCACCAGCATCGCAAGTCTCCGCATGCCCTCAGTCCACACGATGTGGCCAAAGTTAGACTCCAATGTGGACAACTGAGTAGATAACGTACCTATCCAAGGAAAAATAAATATTTAGATTCTAATGAGTACAACTGAAATCAAACTCCTCTGGGGATTTTGGCCTACTCACCCAGCAATTTTAGAACATTTTCCTTGGAGAAAAGAGATTGAGGACACAATTTTTTCTTGAAATGTTTCTCCAGGACTTCTTGAATCACATCAACTTCCTCCTGCTTCCTGACTCGACCTGCCAGAAGCATATAACCTGGGAGGAGGAAGAGAGGAATCATCAAGTATCTGCTGGAAACACCAAGGGACATTGAGAATATGGAGCAATAGCAACTCTCATACACTGCTGGTGAGGTAGAAATCTGAAGAAGTATGTGGGAAAACTGGGAGGGCCTATTACAACTAACCACACTATTCCTCGGCAATATGACTTCTAGTATCCCCAAACACAAATGAACATATGTGGGTCAAAAGACATACACGGAAATGTTCGGAGAAGCTTTACTCATGATAGCTAAAAAACTAAATGATCCAAATGTCCATAACCAAGAGAATGAATAAACTGTGGTGTCTCCATACAATAGATTACCAAATACAAATACAAAGAAAAAAATAAAGAATGAAGCCCTGATACACATAATGGCATGATTGAATCTCACATCAGGTTTAGTGAAAAACCAGAACCCAGAGAGCAGCTCAAGGACAAACAAAATTCTTTTCAATCAGATTAGTAGTTATAATCAGACGGTAGTCAATTAGTGGTGACAATAGTCAGGGTAGTGGTTACCTCCACTAGCAAGAGACCTACCTATTGAGTTATTGAAAATATTCTAAATGTTGGTCTAGGTGATGATTTACATGGGGAAATACTTTACTGCATGTTATACCTCAATAAAAAAAGTTTTTAAAAAAGTATTCCTCTCTTTTTTTCTTTTTTGAGACAGAGTCTTGCTCCATCGCCAGGCTGGAGTGCAGTGGCACGATCTCGGCTCACTGCAACCTCCGCCTCCCGGGTTCAAGCAATTTTCCTGCCTCAGCCTCCCCCAAGTAGCTGGGACTACAGGCGCGCGCCACCACGCCCAGCTAATTTTTGTATTTTTAGTAGAGACGGGGTTTCACCATATTGGCCAGGATGGTCTCGATCTCTTGACCTCGAGATCCGCCTCCCAAAGTGCTAGGATTACAGGTGTGAGCCACCGTGCCAGGCCAAAAAGTATTCCTCTCCTTTTGATTTGCATAGCCAAAAAAAAAAGAAATAAGAAAAAAAAGTATTCCTCTGCATAAATATTCTTTACAAGTAGAGAAAAGAATCTCTTGTACTAGTTTTACATGTTTTTCTTACTTATTAACTAGCCCATTCATCAGGACTTTTCAAATCGGAAGATTCCAAAACACTTTGTTTCCTATCACAAACAGTAACAAATTCTTCCTGAGTCTTGGATTATATAAATTCTGTCTCTCTGAATGCTGATGTTTTCTGACAAATCAGCTTTCTGTACGTCTGTAAGGCACTAGCCAGGCTATCTGTGGTAACACTGTAGAGAAATGGCCCACAAAGCTACCATCAACCAATCGCCTAAACTCCCAAAGAGGCTATGCCCATATCCTGACTCCCACATGTGCTACCTGAAGCAAAGAGTAAGAAGACCTTAGTAACCAGTCCTTATTAGCATGGAGGCTGGCAGGAATTAAGATCACTTACAAAAGCAGTTAGAACTGGAGGGAAACAGGCTCTCTGGAATACCTAGTCAAATGTATACATCAATCACAATCTGAGGCAAGATTTGTTTTAATAAAAAGTTTCAACATTTAACCTAACTATATACTGAGAACATTTGACTGAAAACATACCATCATTGGCTAAGTACTGCAGCCAGTCATACTCCTTCTCGGTCTGCTCAGCCAATCTGTATCTCTCAGCCCATCGGAACAGATCACGAAGGGTGATGAAGCCCTGCTTTCCAGCAAACACTGACGAACTTCTGCGATAGGACTGTTAAAGTATCAAATGAAAAAGGACATTAGCTGCAATGCATAGCAAGCCTGTAGTACAACATATATAAAATTCCAAACAAATTTACGCTCCCATTAAAATGATTTCATTCCACTGAATAAGATTAATTTTTAATGTAAATATTCTGAAGAAAAATGTTCAAATTCACATTTAAGTTAAGAATATAAAATGGAGCCGGGCGCGGTGGCTCAAGCCTGTAATCCCAGCACTTTGGGAGGCCGAGGCGGGTGGATCACGAGGTCAAGAGATCAAGACCATCCTGGTCAACATAGTGAAACCCCGTCTCTACTAAAAATACAAAAAATTAGCTGGGCATGGTGACGCGTGCCTGTAATCCCAGCTACTCAGGAGGCTGAGGCAGGAGAATTGCCTGAACCCAGGAGGCGGAGGTTGCGGTGAGCCGAGATCGCGCCATTGCACTCCAGCCTGGGTAACAAGAGCGAAACTCTGTCTCAAAAACAAAAAAAAAAAAAAAAAAAAAAAAAAAAGGTGGCAAAGATGCAGGAAGATTAGTGAAACAATATGGGACCATAATGGTAGGAGTCTTCATTATTAGTAGCTTTCTAAAAAGCAGTTTGACAATGTATACTTTCTGATAAAGAATACTTTTAACCCCATAAGATAAATGGAATTTTTAAAGATCAGCCATAGCTTTGCAGTTGACAAGGGGAGCCACAAAGAATGGATCTCTAAAATTATGTCCACTGAAGGACTATATCCATTTAAAAACCAAAAACTGCAGTTTTCCCTAAGCCAAGTTCCATTCTAAACAAAATGCTTCAATACTGTACACAAATACAAAATCATATGTAAATATCAGATAAATTTTAATGATGTCAAATTGTGGATTGATTAAAGAAAAATAAAAATATATATTAGTGGGAAGCATTTAAAAGACCTCTACTTGAAGTCCAAGAACTGTGATTGACACCTATAATCCCAATACTTTGGGAGATCAAGGTGGGTGAACCCCTTGAGCCCAGGAGTTCAAGACCAACCTGGGCAACATGGTGAAACCTTGTCTCTACAAAAAAACTTAGCCGGACATGGCAGTGCACACCTGTGGTCCCAGCTACTAAGCAGTGGGGAGTCAGAGATGAGAGGATCACCTGAGCCCAGGAGGTTGAGACTGCAACGAGCTATGACTGCGCCACTACACTCTAGCCAGGACAGTAGAGTGAGGCCCTGTCTCGCCCAAAAAAAGAAAAGAAAAACAAAAAAACCTCAACTTGGAAAAATATATAAACAGATTCTTTTTTCTAACAAAAGACGCCATGAGATTTTGATCACCAAATATAATCAACACATTCCATTTGAAACTAAGTTCAGTGATAAGGAAATGAAATACCTGAAGATCCAGCATGACTTTAACCAACTTGCTGCAATAGGAGGGTGGCAAACTACAGCGCTTGTGCAAGATTGTTTCCAACTCAGAGCTAGGTAACTCATCAAAGTGCAATTCTACAAACCGATTCCTGAAGGCTCTAGAAAGCACCTAGGCAAAGCATAGAAAGAATACGGTAAAAGGTGCCTTTTAATCTCCAATATGGAGGCTCTGGCATTCACCATAAAATATTAAAATAGGGGTAAAAACATCTCATTCTTACTAAGAAAAATCTACGATCTGACATGGTAACAAATTGAAGGAAGGGGACAAATGCTACATACCTTTCTGCCTCCATAAAGTCCTGGGGGATTTTGGGTGGCAAAAAGCATAAACCGAGGGTGTGCTTTAACAACTTCCTGTGTTTCTGTTACAAGCAATTCACGGTTATCATCCAACAGCCTATTCAGTGCCTCTAACACATCGGTAGGAGCCAAATTTAATTCATCTAAAATAATCCAATAGCCTTTTCTCATGGCATCAATAAGAACACCTAGGAAGAAACAAACACCAAAAACTAGTGTATAAATCAGTCCAAAGTTTTAAAATGTGTTATGTACAAATCAACAAATCCTAGGTTATCATTAAATTTCAAAGCAAATTACTTTCTGCAGCTAGTCTTGCCCCAAAACAAATCATGACACTGAAGATCAAGGAGGAACAATTTTCAATTAAAATAGTCCCCTTTTTCCCCACAGCCAAGGCTGACAAAAAACTCATTTCTTGTTTGATTTTTCCCTGCAGTCTAATTTCATTTAAATCACCACGTTCTCGTATCTATTCCCAACTTCCTTTTGGCTAACACTAACCCCAGCCATTGAATCCCTAGAAAATAAAGCAGCAGTTCAATTCCCCTCTTGAAAATTTGGCCCTATATATAGCCAGCAAGATTAACAGAACCTAAAGAATGCACGCCACCTATGCATCGCCCCTTAACTATCTATAGCTCAGGCATCAAGAAAAGCCAGCTGTTACAGCAAAGGTCCATGTGCCTCAATTAGAAAGGATGAAGAATAATATTACTTAGGGAAATGTGTCTGAAAGAATGAACACCTATGTCCATGGAATGACATCTTAACCCTACCTTCTTTAAAGACAAGCTTCCCTGAGGAGTCAGATGTGTAACAACCAATGTACTCCTGAATGTCCGTGTGTTCATGATTGTTAATACGCACACAGTGGTTGCCAGTAGCTGCAGCCAGCCACTGGATGAGGCTTGTTTTACCAACTGATGTCTCTCCCTGGATTAGCACTGGATAGGTTCTGTAAAAGATTAGCCAATTAAGCAACTTGAAAAAAACAAAACAAAACAAAAATAGAAAGCTGAGAAACCAGAACTGAGTATTAGTTTGTTTTGTTTGACACAGGCTTTCACTGTCACCCAGGCTGAAGTGTGGTGGTGCAATCACAGCTCACTGCAGCCTCGACCTCCCAGGCTCAAGTGATCCTCCCACCTCAGCCTCCTGAGTAGCTGGGACTACAGGCATGCACCTCCAACCCCAGCTAAATTCTGTATTTTTTGCCAAGACAGAGTTTTGCCATGTTGCCGACACTGGACTCAAACCACTAGGCTCAAGTGATCCAACCACCTCGGCCTCCAAGAGTGCTGGGATGACAGGCATGAGCCATTGCACCTGGTCAAGTATTATTATTATTATTATTTATTTATTTTTTAACAGAATGACTACATCATTTAACAGCATCATTAAAAGAGTCCTTTTCCTTTTTTTTTTCTTTTTACATTCCTGGAAATTTCAAGAAGCAAAAGATTTTTATACCCATACACTGAGAAGTCTTTCTGTAAACATTATTCCTCAAAAAATACTGAGGAAAGCAAGTCCAGCTCTGCTGGCAAAACTTGTGAGAAACTGAAAGTAGAACTGTTACTCATTCGCCCAATAATTTGTAGTAAGTATTCATCAGCAAAATAACAAAAGACAACTTTAAAGATAGATAAAATCATCTGAATTGATAGTGCTCCCTCCAAAGTTGCAACTAGAAACAATGTTTCCTACCAGGAAAAAGATATAGTACTGACTTTTGTAAGTATTCATTTGGCCAAAGAATAAGAATAAAGCTTTTTGAAAGTTAAGGAAGTTAGACCAAACTGTCATCAATGCCTATGCCTGCAGCAAATCTGGGGCAGCAAGCAAAAAGCCCACACACCCTGCAGAGACAACTCGGACAATATCTCTCAGGTTCAGCTTCACAGAAGATGTCAGAATGTACGTCTCATCTATTGTAGGCTCCTTGTCTCCCACTGAAATCCAGTAGCCTTCAACCTGGATAAGCCGGCCTCCTTTTGGCTCAGGAATAGGCTGAAAGACACAGAAGTTCAAGGAATAACCCATAATTGCAACAACTAAGGCATTCTTTCAGGGTAGGAAAAGAGCTACTTGTTGAACAAGCTGTCTTGTTCTGGGCACTTTCAACATTGAGACCCATGGGTGAAATATGAACATAAAATTATGAGGAATGAAACAAAATGGTATTATGTATTGGTTTTAAAGCTGAAATAGAGTAGGTAGGTTTGGGAAAAAACAATTGGAATCAAAACCATTTCCCAAATGGTTTATGAATCAGTTCTCTTCTCTTACATACGAAAATGCCCACTCTAAGAATTTTGATCGAAAACATGAATTTCATATAAACCATGTTCCAAAAAGAGGGCCAGTGTTGTACTAAGGAAAGAGCTCTTGCACTATTATACTTGGGATCCCCTAGAGGACATTAAAAATAAAACTGACTTTCCAGGGCAAACAGCCTATTAAGGATAATATTGTGGATGATGGCATAACTTTTCTGAGATACGGTGTAAGTTATTGGTTTGATTATACAAATTCCCATTTTTATAAGTAAAAAATGGTTAAATGGTGGTCAAATCTATAACTATGGAAAAGTACTCTTCTAGAGCATTTGGTCACCAGATTTCAAGCTACAAGTCTAGGCCCTGCTCAGATGAGTTGAGAAGCAGTGGGGGAAATGGAGAAAGGAGCTTTTTAAGTTTCTATCACACCCTGAGGTACACACACACAAAATGAGCAACTGGAAGAGCCTAGTATTTGATTACAATAATGGTAAAAGCAAACCTGAGTCTTTTCTCAATATTTTTACAATTTGCCAAAAGTATTTACGCTTCTATTACTTGTGTGATTTTTTTAAAGACTGAGTCCAAAGAAATACCCAAGTCCCAAGGGCTCTCTCTTCCTAATGAATAAGCAATCGACATGTAAACAGGCCAATTTACATGTTGACTGTGAGCCACTTTCTCTCAGCCTCTTTCAGTCACATGCTATTTTGTAATTTCCTGTCAAATCCAAAATGGCTATTGTTTAAAACAGTGACCCCACTACTACCCTCCTCAAAAAAGGCCCAGCCATCAATCAGAAGGCATAGATTATACCTAACTGTGTAATTAAACTATGTAAATAGTGAAATTATGGTGTACCCATCCAGTGAAACGCTATGTGGCCCTTAGAAGGCATGTCACAATGAACTCTGGTACATAAAACAGAAATAAATACAAGATTCAGTTAGGTTAAAAAGGAAAGCTACAGAATATTCTTATGGGCCGGGCATGGTGACTCACACCTGTAATCCAGCACTTTGGAAGGCCAAGGCGGGCAGATCACTTGAGGTCAGTAGTTCAAGACCAGCCTGGCCAACATAGTGAAACCCAGTCTCTACTAAAAACACAAATATTAGCTGGGTATGGTGGCGTGCACTTGTAATCCCAGCTACTCGGGAGGCGGAGACATAAGAATGGCTTGACCCAAGGAGGGGGAGGATGCAGTTAGCCAAGATTAAACCAATGCACTCTAGCATGAGCAACAGAGCAAGACTATGGTCTCTCAAAATATATATCTTCTTATGAGACAGTCCCACTTAGATTCAATACATACTAGAATTTACCTCAATAAATCAACAAACACATATCAAAATTTGGATATGTAAGAAAATAAAATATACACATCATATAATTTAGAAAGGATTATACACAGTATTTAAATCTCCAAAGAGCATGTTTATTGGAAACTTTCACCACCTAAACATACATTTCTGTAATATTTAAACTTTTCGCAACAGATTACTTCTATAATTAAAAATTTATGTGTTAAAAAAAAAAAAAAGGTGAAAATTTGGTAATTGGGCCTTTCATGTATAACAAGTCAAAAATAACAAAAGAATATACCTGCTTTAGCAGACTCTTGACATTGCCAGGGACAATATGTTGACAGATGAGCTTCTGAACTATTGGGTGTGATGCCCTGTCAAGCTGTGTTAAGAAACCCAAACAAAAACCCTAGAGAGAAAACACAAATAGGCATAATGTTAAGTGACCTTCTGCAATAACAACCAAACTTATTTCCGGAACAAAATTTAACCTCTTGGGTGATGCTGCTTCACAACTTTTAAATATAGTAATATTTAAATATAGTAATATACCCCACGTCTCTACATATAATTAAAAATTTTTAAGATAAAATGTAAAATATTTAATTTAAAAGGGGAGGGTAGGTCTGGTATGAAGTATTCTGGGCTGATATGACTAACTGGAAAGCACAGGCATCCTGGCATATGCATCCCTATTCCTTCCTTCCCATGAACCCCTCCATCAAGCTCATATCCTGTCAAACAGACTTCAGAAAGACCTCATAGAGTGAGCGCTGAATGTTGCCACATGGATTGGAGGCTGCAAATCGCAGGGCCCGGCACAGAGTCCGAAGGCTGTAGTGAGGTCTATGGCCAGTGCCATCCACCAATTTGGTCCCAGACTCTTTCCGCAAAGCTGTGTAGAAGCTACAAACAGAATAAAGGTCAATTTTATTTACTAATAAGTATCCATTATTATCAATTCTCTACAGAAAATCCAAAGGACACTTTTAGATGCAGAAATGGTCATGCTTGCATGCAACTTCCTAGGGCATGAATCAAAATATCTCAGTCTCTTTTAAATCTACTTTTCACATGCTGAGAGCTATCTTTCAAAACAATAAAATGAAGATCTATCCATTTCTTTGTGGAAACTGGGAAGTGCAATGTGTAATTGTCTAGCAAAAAGGTACTGATGTTAGAAGCGCCAGGCATGGTGGCACACGCCTGTAATCCCAGCTACTTGGGAGGCTGAGGCAGGAGAATCACTTGACCTTGGGAGGCGAAGGTTGTGGTGAGCTGACATCGTGCCATTACACTCCAGCCTGGGCAACAAGTGCAAAAGTCCGTCTAAAAAAATTTTTAAAAAAAGAAACTCCGTGTCTACTAAAAATACAAAATTAGCTGGGCCTGGTGGTGCATGCCTGTAATCCCAGCTACTCGGGAGGCTGAGGCAGGAGAATTGTTTGAAACCAGGAGGTAGAGGTTTCAGTGAGCCAAGATCATGCTGTTGAACTCCAGCCTGGGCAACAAGAGTGAAACTCCGTCTCGGAAAAAAAAAAAAAGGTGAGAAGCTTCTGTGTTTCAGAGTCCGCTCAAGCTTAAGGGGCATATAAAGTTCCTGTACAATCTAAAATGGGGATGAATAAAGACACAGAAAAAAGAATGTATGGTGTTTCAAAAGGCTATGAATATGGCTATAATCAATACTGACAAAATGTTAAAAAGCAGGAGGATATGATGGCCAATACTACTGTCACTACCACACTTTAAAAGTCCAGGTGATGACAGGATGGGAGAAGTTTCAGACTGAAACATGAATTTCTGGCATTTTGTGAAATGCACGATCAATTAGCACCTCAAGATCAAATGTAACCAAGTTTGCATCACAGATGAAATCCAAGTTCCTGAGCAAATGGGCTTTGTCTTGCCTCTCTGCTGTCTAAAAAATTCTTTTTCTTTTGTAGAAAGAATCTATGTTTTAGAACTGGGTTTTTAATATATGGAACATATACTACTTATACTATCAGTATTTTATAAGGGCCTCATTTTATCTCCTTATCTCTTTAGATAAAATAAGGTACTTATAAAAGCTTACTTTTAGCATCTGGAATCATAACTGTATGTATTTATACTTCTGTCCAAATATTCTTGGCTAACAAAGAGTATTCCAATTCAGGGTGTGGTGTGGAAAACCATTCTGAAGCACCCTAAACAAACGCCTCCTTGATTAATCTATTTAATATAGGATTTCAAGGCCAGGTACTGTAGCTCACGCCTGTATTCCCAGCACTTTGGGGGGCTAAGGCTCACAGATCACTTGAATCCAAGAGTTCAAGACCAGCCTGCACAACAAAACAAAGCTCCTGTCTCCACAAAAAAAAAAAAATCAAAAAAGTAATAGAACCCCAACTCTTCATTTTCTTAAACCCTACTCAGCTTTATATGTAATTTCTCTTCACTTATCACAATCTATATTATTCCTCTAGAATTAAAGTTCAATGAGAAGAACCAGGATTTTATCTGTCTTACTCATAGCTATATCCCTAGCACCAAGGCACTCAGTAAATATTTGTATTAAGGAAGAGAAAAAACACACAAATACACAGTAAAACATTAATATTACCCTGTTTCAATCCCTTTACATGTTATATTTCTTTCCAGAGAACAGACAAGTTAAGTCACTGGCCCAGAATGACACAATTAGTTTCTCATAGAACCAACGCTAGAATTGAGGTTATCTGACACAAAAGACTGCACATTGCCCATATGGCATTAAAAAAGGCAGGAATAACAGTCTCAAATTAAAGCACCAAGCCACACAAATACTCTATTATTTGTTAGGCTGAGCTTCCAATAATTCCAAACCTGACACAATCAATTATATTAACCCTTTTCTCCCTATATCCCACATAGCTAGTATAAATACTGCAAATAGAAAAGAAACCTTCAGCCGGGCACGGTGGCTCATGCCTGTAATCCTAGCACTTTGGGAGGCCAAGGTGAGCAGATCACTGGAGGTCAGGAGCTCGACACCAGCCTGACCAACATGGTGAAACCCCGTCTCTACTAAAAATACAAAAATTAGCTGGTGTGGTGACAGGCACCCGTAGTCCCAGCTACTTAGGAGGCCATGGCAGGAGAACTGCTTGAACCTGGGAAGCAGAGGTGGTAGTGAGCTGATATCGTGCCATTGCACTCCAGCCTACGCAACAAAGCAAAAAAAAACTCTGTCTCCCCCCCACCAAAAAAAAAGAAAAAGAAAAAAGAAAGAAAAGAAAGGAAAGTAACCTTCTTCAACAGATCAAAATGCAAGCCATGTACATCTCCAAGAATTCAAACTCTCAGCCATGGATATAAAGGTATAATTAGGAAAATATTATCTGAGATTTTATATATATTCTCATAGGTGATGATTCATAGCTTTCTATGTCATTTTTTTTTTTTTGAAAAACCTGAAGGAGTTCATACCAGGTTTCAACTTTACAACAGAATCTAAATAATAATCCTGCCATCAGTTTTCTCAAGTTAGAAGTAAAAAATAATACTTATTTGTGTGTGTGCATGAGTAGCACATTTCCATGTTCCGAGAAAGAGTTTATAAAGACATACCAAAGGGAACCTACTTTATGATTCCTTGCACTGTATTCTTGTTCACACTCAATCCTTTCAGATAATCTACAATAAGAACCTGTAAGTCTTCTTTGCTTTCCAATTCTTCTACATAAAGTTCTGTGAATCTGTAAGACAATAAATAATACACATTTTTTAGAAAGTTAATATAACTATACTGACAATAGAAAAAACATGAAACAGAAGAAGCTATGTCAGCTAATTTTAACTGCTTGTAGTATAAAATGTCTTTCAACCTGAGATAGAAACTGATCATAAAGGATAACGTAACCATTACCAAAAATATATCATTATTGCTTCTTCTATGCAGTAAGTCTTCCATGTATAGTCCTTACAAGAAGAAAAAGTTATAAAAATAAGAATTAATTATTCTCATTTTCAGGTGTTATGATAACTGCATGCTACAGAAAAGTAAGTGCAACAAAAAACAAGCCCCCTCACCATCAAAACAAAACAAAATGATTGAAAAGAAAACAACTACTTTAATGTAGTTTCTAAAGCTTCCGGAAGCTTTTGCTACTTTATAA